AGTAACAAAGAAGCTAGTAATAACAAGTGCCTTACTAGTAGTAACAATGCTTGCTATTAGAAACAAGTGCATCGCTACTAGTAGCTCCTGGCCTTACTACTAGGAGCAAAGACGCTACGAACGTAGCAAAGGGCATCGCTACGAACGGAGCAAGGACGCTAATGGGGGCTGTTTCTATTTGGCAGGTCGGGGAACTCATGTTATATTAAACAACATATTTGGGCTAGACAAAAACATGCAGTGCTTCTCCGCAGTGCTGGCATGGTGCGAAAAGTTCAAGAATTGCTGAAGGATACGGCTTTCACCGCCTCTGCTGGTGCATGTGGCTCCAAAGCTGCTTTCAGCAAAGCTGCTGCTTCATTCACGAGCTGGTCGGTATGAGCCTCACTGCTTGGAAGCCAAACGAGATTGGACAGCGAAACAAAAAAAGCATTTGTTCAGCTCACTTCTGAAGTGATCGTGAAAAACAACATGTTGCTTCTTCTGCTTCTGCTTCCCAAGAAACATAGAACTCTGCATCTTTGGCACGTCCTGGTGGAGCTCTACACCTGTCTTCACACATGTGAGCGAAAACCGTAGTTCTTTCTTGTTTACTTTCAGCCTTTTGGACCTTCAGACGTTTGCTTTATGTCTTTTTCGAATTCCTCCGTTCTTCCTTTCTCTGGACACACTTGACACATTTTCCTTGCCAGAAACTACTTAACCAAATAGCTTCCAACCTAGCGATGGTTTTTAACCTACTTTTCGAAAGAAAAAGGGAAACGTAAAAGATGAAAACATCTCGTCGGGTCTGGATCTAAGTCCCAAGCGCATCTCTGAACGGTGCATGACCTGACTCTATGCCGAAATTGACTTTCCAAAGCCTAAACGGCCAAACTGAACTTGCCAATTGAAAGGGTAATCTTCTTCATCTTGGGATCAAGCAAAAACACATCAACTCCTGCATCATTCTGTGCATCGCCTGGTGAAAGGTGACATCAAGCGACAAACATTGGCGCAAGTGTGACACATTGAAACATATTGAGACAAAATCAAGGCCACAGATTCGATGATTCTGATTTCTGCATCCAAAAATAGAACACAGAAAACACCATAATTTCTTTAATCTGTAGTTTTTTTTGGTCTTGTAAAGAAGCTACTAGAAACAAGTGCCTTGCTAGTAGAAACAAGTGCCTTACTAGTAGTAACAAGAAGCTAATAACCTTTAGGTACCTTTCTTTTAAACCATAACGACGTGCTGAGCGCCTCAGCTCCGCCTCCCGAAGCCTTGACGCGGTTGATGAGAAATGCGAAGACCTTAGGAAGCGAAGCGAAGAAGCGAAGATCTTCATCGCTCTTGGACATAAAAGGAAAAGATGAAAGGAAGATGAACACATGTTCTTAGTTATATATATATGCAATAGTATATGCAATATATGCTTTGCTCAACATCACATTTCATCATTTTGATCTTTTGCTTCAAGCAAAAAGAACCTACACTGACACTCCCTTCAGTCGCTAAGTGCTAAGCTTGGGCTGCCAGAAGCAGGGTGTCTGCGTGTTCCAAAGCATGGTGTTTGAATCGCACCAAAGGGTCCTACCCGTTCTGGGGTTCAAGTGTGAACTAACAAGACAAGAACAAACGCACAAAGGAAGGACGGCATCCCCCCCCAAAAGAATGCCATTGCTAGTAGAAACAATAAGGTAATAACAAGAAGCTAGTAGAAACAAGTGCATCGCTACTAGAAACAAGTGCCTTACTAGTAGTAACAAGAAGCGAACGTAGAAATAAAAAAACGATTCCAAAAGGAACACGAGAAGAACAGCACTGCATGGTCACCGATCCGATCCTCCGCTTGTAATGGGCCCACCTCAGATCTTCACGATGGTCGGCGGTCACCGCGGTCGCCCGCGACAGTGTCGGTTTACTTGAAAGAACCCAGCAATGGCCTCCAACCTAATAGCTTCTTGCTCCTAGTAGTAAGGCCAGGAGCCCCTAGTCGCTTCTTGTTCCTAGTAGCAACATTCCTTCTTTTTATAAACCTTGAATTGAATGTTGTTCCATCTGTTTCCCTTCAGACAGTCTTTTCCAACTGTTCCACATCGAAACGACGACAAGTCCACGTCTGGACCATGTGACACATAGCAAGTTGTGGCACTGCTGGAAGTGAGCATCTCTGCAAGCCTCCAGCGCCCATCTCACAAAGCAAAGCTTGGTAAACTCCGTCGATTCCTGTCCTCCGAGCAGTACATTTCACCACAGCCTGCCAAGAGAGCAGAGTGCGACCGCCTCTCACTATTTCCTGCCCCAGCTTTACATTTAGAGCCTTGCCTCACCAAACACATTTCCATATCAGCAAAACTGTTTACAGGTCGTGGGTAGTTCGAGGCAGTTTTCACTGTGGGACGCGCCACAGGCGATGTCAACGATGTCTTCAACGATCGAACGAACCGGCCACCGCGTATGCTGCATTCCCCTACCCGTTGGAAAGTGGAAAGCAAACGATATATTTGAAGGATAGTAAAACCCCGCCTCACCTGATGTTTTTCCATGTTCATTTTCCTTTCTAGAGATTGTGGAAAGGAGCGATAGGTGCGGTTTGCGGATTTTGGCAATCAAAACATGACGTCCTTAAGTTGTAAGAGGCCGGGGGCCACGAATGGAATTCTAGACTTTCCCGACCGGAGGCCATCGCTCTTTTGGTTTGAGCGTTTTGTGAGACGCCACAGCCACAGCCGGGATGCGGTCGCTTAGAAGGGAAGGCCTGGCATCTCTTGGCATTGTTTTCTTTTGCTAGTAGTTACAATTCTAATTAAACTCTTATTGTTACTAGTAGTAAGGCACTTGTTTCAAATAGCTTCTTGTTACTACTAGCAAGGCACTTGTTACTACTAGCGATGCAATTGTTTTCTATATGGTTGGAGCCCATTGCTACATCGGACGCTAGTAGGTTGGAGGCCATCGCTACCAAGCGGAGAGATGTACCAAATGGACGCATGTTTGTCCCGCTCGTCCAGAAACCACAATCCGGAATCAGATGCTGAAACGCTGCGTTTTGAACAGCGGGTGACAGTCCAAGATCAAACTCACTACTACTACTACTGCTACTACTACTCCTGCTGCTGCTGCTACTGCTACTACTACTACTGCTAGTTGCACAATTACTTTGTTAGCCTTTGCTAGTCTTCTGTCAGGGACTTCACTCCTTCTTGCGCGGTATACCGACGGTAAACTTTTGACCCCAACTCGTACTTCTCATATGTATGAAACACGGTCTGAAACACAAACCACAAAGCAATGAGAGCCGCTAAAGTTAGCAATGAAAACCAGCGCGAAAACTAGAAATCCAGGTTCGAGCCCGGATGCAACAACACAACATGGGAAAAACGTTAAGCGAAACAACTCTGCAAACGCTTCAGTCAATGTGCTTTTTTTGGGGGGGGAGTAGGCCGGGGTAGGTAGAGATAGGGATAGCGCTCGCACCAATCATTTGGTTCCTACTTTGGTTCCTAGATTCTTAGGGAATCTTAAGGTTCTTCTTAGTCCAACACCTTTTAAAATGACCTCACACAGCTTTGATGAATAACATGTGATACGATCCGCTGACTCTTCTGAACAGTGCCTTGTGTGCATCGAGCAACAAACGCTTGACCTCCTCCAGCACTCTCCTCTTCGCTGCGAGGCTTTATAAATCGATTTGTCAACCTGACCTTCTTCATGAACAACACGTGCCTTTAGAACACGTGCCTTTAGAGCAACAACATTGTTCTCCAACCTAATAGGAAAAGCCTTCAACCTACTAGTGATGACCTGCAACCTAATAGCAATGGCCTCCAACCTAATAGGAATGGCCTCCACACGGAACAACTCGATTTGCCTTTAGAGCAACAACATGGAACTGAGAAACATTGGCGACCAACGCACGTTCGAAGAACGGCACAACCAACCTGCCATTGCTTGGGTAAGTCCCCAAGCTCTGCAAGCAAGGAAGCAAATCGACCTTCTCCAAAAATGACCTGCCCGTGAGTACAAAATCACCTGAGACAATGCAATTAAGCTGCCTGGAAAGTACCCCTAACTGGACTCGTGTTTTACAATGGACTTCCTCTTCCCTATTTGTAAAACTCGCTGTCTAGCGAACTCGCCTCCAGTTGAAGTGGGATCGAGTGGATGAAACCACAGCAGCGCGCACAGGCTGCAACCTTTGAACGAAGCGGCGAAGCCACTAGTAGGCGGGGGGATCATTTGCGCATCGACTTTTGGATCACTTGCGCATCGATGGCAATAATGGTGAGGTCTAATGGAATGATTGGCCCATGTCCACATCATCACATCTGACATCCGTGCACAACCGACGAACAAAGTTCTCTATGATCTAAGGATAGCCATTTCTCTGTGATCTAACGCTTGCCATCGATTGGACATCTCATAACTTGTGACAGCTAAGTTTCCCAAAAAGAATCTAGGAGCCACATCATTAAGGCTCGGGCGTATTTGAATTTAGTAGCTTACCCTTTAGTGGCCACGCATTCCATGTTGCGCCCAACGAAAACCCGACGCACAAGCGATCCCAAACGCGACGCACAAGCGAACCCCCGTCCCCACCAGTAGCGGTGGCATCCTCGCCTCTAGTAACAAAGGGCATCGCTAGTAGTAGCTCTTGGCAATACTAGCAGCAAATAGCTACTAGGAACAAGGACGCTACTAGGAACAAAGGGCCTCGCTACTAGGAACAAAGACGCTACTAGGGGCTCCTGGCCTTACTACTAGGAGCAAGAAGCTATTAGGAGCAAGGATGCTGTGGCTGAGATCCAATGTGTTCGGCTGCGATTGCGTCACCTCCACGAGTTGGTGTGATCTTCGACGCCTTTCACTACTAGCTTCTTGTTACTGGCGACGGCCTCCAACCTGGCTTTTTGTTGCAAGGGGCACCTTGCTACTAGTAGCTTCTGCGATCCGGGACTGGAGGCGCTTCGAACCTCGATGTCTGCAGGGACTGGAGTCATCGTGGAACTAGTAGCGTCCTTGCTCCTAGTAGCGATGCCCTTTGTTCCTAGTAGCGAACATTGCTCCTAGTAGCGATGCCAGGAGCCTCTAGTAGCTTCTTGTTCCTAGTAGTAAGGCCATCACCACTGGGAAAGAGCCATTGTGAAGCTGGATGAGCTACGCCCGAAGTTGCTTCCTTTGGAGCTTAAGACCTCTTTCTTCAGCCTGTTTTCACCATGAGGCACTTTGCGTTTGCTACTAGGAGCAAAGGGCATCGCTACTAGGAGCAAGGACGCTACTAGGGGCTCCTGGCCGTACTACTAGAAGCATCCTTACTAGTAACAAGAAACTAATGAGATTCTTGCCTTTCGGATCACCTCCCCTGATGAGAGTGGCCGATCTGAAGGGATGGGCACAGTAGCCGAGTGTGCCCAGCCCAGTTTGGTCTCAGGTCCGCTTCGAACTCTTCTAGACCGCCTTTGTGAACCAAAGAACAATTCTAATTACATTCTTATTGTTACTAGTAGTAAGGCACTTGTTACTAGTAGCTTCTTGTTACTACTAGTAAGGCACTTGTTACTAGTAGCGATGCACTTGTTCCTAGTAGCTTCCTACTGGACCGCCTTTGTGAACCGAAGAACAATGAAAACCACAAACCGCCGTCCGAGGGGATGAAACATGATGACATCCACTTCGCATGCATCGCTGATCAACCACAAGGCAACACGATTCAATCGATTTCCGTGAGTACCTGGACCTGCCAGTCAGCCTTGTTACAACTAGCTGCACAACCGAGGCTCGAACTATGCAGGTGAAGAACAGAAGTTCTTGCTGCCCCGTACGCACTACACACCCGTTTTTATTGAGTGACTGCAAGAGACGAAACCGAAAGATCAGGTGTCCACCACCGAAGGCTCCTAAATGGCTCCAGAAGCACTCACTGCGGTGTGGAGCCGAAAGACAAGGTGGACGCGTTTGACCAACACCTCGGACTGATTGATCAGCCTCCAGATCAGGCTGGCCATGCATTGCATGTGTCACCACTAGGAGCAAATAGTTACTGGTAACAATTGACATCGCTCTTAGGAGCAAGAAGCTACTAGTAGCTCCTGGCATGACGACTTGGAGCAATGTTCGCTACTAGGGTGGAATGGACACCGGAGGCATGACTAGCGTGCTCACGAGCTGTGTTGGTCACCCGCGGAGAACACAAAAGGACAAGAGGAGAGTATCAACCGGACACATTTGCTAGTAACAAGAAGCTACTAGGGGCTCCTGGCATCGCTACTAGGAGCAAGGACGCTACTAGGGGCTCCTGGCCTTACTACTAGAGTAGCTAGAAGCTACTAGTAGCAAGGGCATCGCTCTTTGGTTGGAGGCCGACCGGACACGGTACCGTGTCAAGAGGACGGACGACAGGCCAACACCGGGATGGGTTTGGCCGTGGCCACAGACTGTGGCTGGCGGCTGCTAAGAGGGAACTCCAACAGCGGTTTCTTGTTTTGTCCTCGTAGCCCGATCACAGGCCTGGATTGGTGCTTAACTCGTGCAAAGCATAGTAAGACGCTAAGAGGACATAATAGATCGACTGTTGGAGGAGTGCACATCAATCTGACGAATTGAATGAGTATGTAGTACATATACAGAACATCGTATCAACATTATTTCAAAAACAAACGGCACTACTAGGTTGGAGGCCAGGGCTAGTAGGGTGGAGGCCATCGCAACTAGGATGAGCGAAAGAATCTAAGTCCGGGAACCACTCGTCGATTGCCCGAATGTTGGAGAGCAAAGAGGGGCTCCTACAGTGTTTGACAGTGACCTGCAAATGACTTTTTATTGAGCAATGTCAAAGTCGCACGATCTGCGTCCTCCGAGAACAGCTCGGTATATGCGTTGCAGGAAGCTAAGGCAAAAAGTCCAAATCCTTTCGGTGGCAATGCCGCACGCACCTGCGCCGCGCTTTCCTTTCCGCTGTGTGGAAATGGAGACGAACGGTGAAGTTCTTGTGGCCAGTCCGCGGGCGAAAATCAACACGCTAAGGAAGCTTTCAAAGGCAAAAGCTACGAACGGAGCGATCCGACGCTACTAGGGGCTCCTGGCATCGCCACTAAGAACAAGAAGCTACTAGTAACAAAGGGCATCGCTACTAGGAGCAAGGACGCTACTTGGCGCGCTCCTGGCCTTACTACTAGGAAAGACATCTCTGCAAAAAATATCTTTGCTTTTAGTTCGACTCGAATAAAGCCTCCCAAGTTCTGCAGGAGGTTATCTTCAATATTTTTCAATCAATTTGGGATTTCCGATTAGGTTGAAGGCCATCGCTATTAGGTAGCAGTAGTCACTAGTCAGTAGTATTTCTCGATCTTTGTCGATGGTGTCGCACCTCGCAGCCGGCCGGTGCTGGGGGTCCCCCGGGCCCTCCTTGAGGCACCACCGGAGCGGTCATGACACCTCACCTTAGTTACTCAGCCGGAGCCCCCCTTTGCAACTTCCAATAGTAGCGTCCTTGCTCCTAGTAGCGATGCCCTTTGCTCCTAGTAGCGTCTTTGCTC